CTGGGAAGTGCCAGCTCCAGGCGACCCCAGGGAGAGGACATCGTGCCAAAGGGGATGAATCACAAAGGCAATCAGGACCAGTGGCCAGCAAGCCTGTCCACATATCCCAGCTCTAGTGTCCGTTAGCTGTGTGACCCCAGGAGAGTCACTGAACCTCTCTGGGATCAGTTGAGGATAGTGACAGTGGCCAGAGCATATAAGTGCAGTGGTAGCAAGGCCTCAGTTTCCCTCTATTGGGTGGATTGTGCAAAGTGAGTTCCAGGCTCAATTCTGTTGGCAGCTCAGTTGTATCCAGAATCTAGGATCATGTCTTCATCCCCGTTCCTGCACCCTGGGACCCCATTCCCAGACACGCCTACTCGTGTCCAGCCCCTCCCCTTACAGTGCCCCCAAGGCCTTTCTGCCTGTGGTGGGGCTCTAAGCCTTGGACACCCTGAGAATCCTGTGCCTCAATGCCCAGTGTTGAAATCAGGACACTCGTCCTCAACCTTGTCCTTGCCCTAGCACCCCCACACACACCTCTATCTCTGATCTCCCACCAGACACAGGATCCTTCCACAGTCCTCTCTGCGAGACCAGTGGCAAAGACAACTTGCCTGGAGCCTGGAAGCCCCTTGCTGGTTTAGACAGCCCCTTCCCTGTGGGCAGAAGCAGCCTTGTCTAAAAAAAAACAAAAAACAAACAAACAAAACACATAAGTGTAGTACTAGACTCAGCCACTAGAGGGAACCTCTGCAAAGATTAAATAGCTAAGGCAGAGAACTTGGTGTAAAGCAAAGGTCCAAAGTCAGCTGTATTAGAAGGTTATGATCATTTCCCCGCTAATTGTTAAAATGGGGACTTAGAGGAGCTATCCTGCCAGGCTTCCTGAGATGCCCAGAGAGAAGGAACTCAGGGCTATATGCTGAGTGCAAGTACCTAGAAGTGACCTCTTGTCCCTCTGCCCTCCTCACTTCTCCTTTGGAATCTACCTCTGCGCACTGGCACCTGCTGTTGCCGTCCTCCCCTCTCCTTACCCATCTAGATCCTGAAATCCTTTAAGGGCAGATGTGTCCTTTCTCCTCCAGGAATCCCTACTGGAGGCTGCCTGTAACAGCTCAAACCTGCCCTAAGTGGCTCACTCCTGTCACCTCTCTGTGCTTGGGGTTTCTAGCCTTTCTACAAAGATGACAGGCTTCTGCATCAAAGCCATGGTGGAGGCTGGCATCACAGTTGTGCGCACCAAGCTCAGGTTCTTACTTGTGGGGACTACTGAAGGACGCTGGCTAGCTTTTGGTTTCTGCCTGAAAAACAAGGAGACAGCAGCCATGCTGCCTTCATGGATTTGATACATGGGGCTCTGGTGGCCTGTGATTGTTCCTGTGCTGACTCCCAAGGTGGGGGCTCCCTTCCCAGTCTTCAGGTCCCAGCTCCACCTTCTGGCATGGCAGTTGGCTGGCCTTCCTAAGCAAAACCTTTGACATGTGCTAGCAAATGGAATCTATTGCACCCTCTTTGAGCCCTTTACAATATCCAGGATTCCAGTGGCTAACCCAGAACGAGCCTCTGTGGTGGTTTGAGTAGGCTCACACATTTGAATGCTTGGCCATGAGGGAGTGGCTCTATTTGACAGGGATTAAGAGGTGTGGTCTTGTTGGAGGAAGTATGTTAGTGGCAATGGGCTTTCTCAGCTCCTTCTCCAGCATGACTGCCTGCATGCCACCATGATTCCCGCCATGCCGATAATGAACTAAGCCTCTGAAACCATAAGGCAGCCCCAACTAGATGTTTTCCTTTATAAGACCTGCCTTGGTCAGGGAGTCTCTCACAGCAATAAAACCCTGATTGAGATGTGCTCTATCCTGTGATTGACATGAAGTTACCATCACTCCCCACTCTTCCTGGTTCTCTGGGGAGAGGCAAGAGTGGTTTCATACCTCAACATTTGACCCCTGAGATCTACAAAGGTGGGTATCCTGAGGTCTGGCCTGGGTAAAGGACCCCGGACAAAGTCCTTCCTGGGCTGCACAGGAAGCCACTTTGCCTTGTGGCTCCAAGTTGATATCCCACCTGGCCACTCCAGAGCCACCAGATCCTAAGCCTCTCAGCAAAACAATGGCAGGAATCCCTTCTCTTGTGAGCATCTATTCCCTGGGCCTTAAAGGAGGCAGAGGGTTCGGTGAGGAAGTGGGAAGGGAAAGGATAAAGGGAGACTGGGAAGACCAGAGACAGAACAATGACCCGAAACATTGCACCACGCCTGTGCAATTTTTTATTTAATCGCTTTGGCAAACGGAATTTAGATGCGTGAGGAATCCGGTTGTTTAAATTGATCCAGAGGCTCACACAATGTATTAGAAACGATCTAAATCCGGATGATGACAAAGGGAGAGACCCTGGATGGCGTAACCAAAAATACTTGCGTGAGGAATCCGGTTGTTTAAATTGACCCAGAGGCTCACACAATGTATTAGAAACTATCTAAATCCGGATGATGACAAAGGGAGAGACCCTGGATGGCGTAACCAAGACAAACGTGGATCGCTCTTCCTAGTCAGACTCAGCCTCGAGCTGGTGGGGCGACGGGGTTGGGGACGCCAAGCTAGAAGGGATTGTTTTTGGAGTCTGTGGTCCAGCCACCACGAAGGGGCCCAGGTTAGTTTCTTTGCTCTCACTCCATTGGTTAGAACTGAACAAGTCCGCCCTCGCCCAAGGGAGGCTGGGAAATGCAGTCCTTTTGCTCCACATGCTGCCCGGCTAAAAGGGGCACTCCCGCAGGAAGCAACCAGAAAGTTCTGCTTTACAAGAGCTCACTTTCCCAAGCTCGGGAGCTTTTACTGCCCTCCCATACCCACCGCCATGGCTAGAGACCCAGGGAGGACTTTCTGCGCCTGTGCTTTCTGGGCAGAAAGTCAAGAGGACAAGGTGGGCGGATATCAGGCGCCGTGGAAGAGGGCTGGCAGGCTGCAGTACGTCCAACCCAGGGAGATGGCAGAGAGGCAGCAGTGGCCACAGCC